AGGCGGACCACCACCCAGGTCAGCGCTCGCTAGGCTGCTGACTTCCTGAGGACAAGCCCCAAGGAGGTTACCAGCTCCCCCCCCCTCCCCGCAGCTCCCCCCTCCCCAGCTCCTGGCACCACACTCCGCAGAGAAACGTCCTGCACGGACGTGGGCTCCCCACTCAGTCCAACATTCCAAGGCCCGAGACCACACTGCACATTTCAGCATCTCTCTCACGGGGCTTCCAGAAGCTCAGTCTCCTGCGTCCCCTGAATGTCCGCACCCTGTCACATGCACCCTTTCCCGGCGGTACAGATGGCAACAGGCTGAACATGGAGCAGCCTCTTCCATGGAAACAGGAAAAAAAAAAAAAAACTATGGAAATGTGACACTAACAAGGAAAAAAACCCAAGAGCACTTAAGCCACAATTAAATGCAGCTGTCCTTCTGTTTTCCTTCATTTCCCAGATTTCCAGGGCACACAGGTTTCCCAGGGGTAGGCAGGAGCCCTGGAGAAAAGCTCCCAGCTCGTCCAAACTGACAACTAACTGTCCTGCTCACTGTCCCGACATGAAGGAGCATTCTCAGCAAAGGACAGGGGACAGGGAGCTGCGTGGCGCTGACGAGAAGAAACTAAGTTTGGGGGCTATTCCTGTAAACCGTCTGTACTTCCAAATACGAAAATATCTTAAACAACATCCTCAAAACATGCATAAGTTAACTCAGCCCTCCTACACGTGACCTGCCTAATTCAGTATTTTTTAAACTTGGGTCAAACCAGTCAGCTGCGAAATCAACTGGGTGTTGCAACCAGATTTTTTTTTTTTTTTTTTTTAAACAAAACACATCACACGTAGTAGGGATCAGGACTGTCTCCTGAAACTTTCTTTTCAGATCTTGACACAAAATATATATACTTCTGGGAACCCTGGGTGGCCGGTTGGTTAAGCCACCTACTTCAGCTCAGGTCCTGATCTCACGGTCCATGGGTTCAAGCCCCACATCAGGCTCTGTGCTGACAGCTCGGAGCCTGGAGCCTGCTTCAGATTCTGTGTCTCCCTCGCTCTCTGGCACTCCTCCACTCTCTGTCTCTCCCTCTGTCTCTCAAAAATATAAACATTTTTAAAAAATCAGATTCTGTGTCTCTCTGCCCCTCCCCTACTCATGCTATCTCTCAAAAAAAAAAACATTGAAAAACTTGTTTTGGGGGCGCCTGGTTGGCTCAGTCAATTAAGTGTCCAACTTGGGCTCAGGTCATGACCTCACAGTCCGTGAGTTTGAGCTTCGCATCAGGCTCTGTGCTGGCAGCTCAGAGCCTGGAGCCTGTTTCATATTCTGTATCTCCCTGTCTCTCTGACCCTCCCCTGCTCATGCTGTCTCTCTCTCTCTCTGGTCTCAGAAATAAAAATAAAAATATTTTAAAAAAATTTTTTACCTTGTTTTTAAATAAAAAATATGTATACTTCTTACATGGGTCACAAAACAGAAAAGCTTAAATGCAGATATAAAACTGTAAGAAACTTATTAACCAAAATCTTTTTTAAATTACAACTTAAGCTAACTGAGGCTTGCTTTTCTTTAAATCTGAATTAACTGAAACAACAAATGTTCAAGGCCACAGAGTACATTCATCCACAAATCAACCTAATTTATGTCTATTTGTAATTACTACATCCAGCTCATGATTTTTTATTTTCTCCCTTATGCTAATAGGAAACTGGGGTGTGGGAGGTAAAAAAAGGAAAGGCCCCTGGCAACCCTCATTAAACACACTAAAAATATTAACTCATTCAGATGTACTGTCCCTAACCTCTGACCTGGGACCTGGCACTTGAGTGTTCAATAATGGTTCCTAACCGAATAAAGCATCAATCTTGTATTTCTAATTTCTCATATTTCTTCAGCAAACCCAAATCGGAATGAAATGAACCTTTAACGTTTACAAAGTTAATAATAAAGCAACAATACAGGGGCAGCTGGGTGGCCCAGTCGGTTAAGCGTCCAACTTCGGCTCAGGTCATGATCTCACGGTCCGTGAGTTCGAGCCTCACATCAGGCTCTGTGCTGACAGCTCAGAGCCTGGAGCCTGCTTCGAATTCTGTGTCTCCCTCCCTCTCTCTCTGCCCCTTCCCTGCTCGTTCTCTCTCTCTCTCTCTCTCTCTCTCATAAACTTAAAAAATCTTTAAAAAATGTAAACATTAAAAAATTACTTTTAATAAAAAATAGTAAAGCAGCAATACAGCACAAAGAGTTCAGTATGGTCTTGGAGACAGGAAAGATCTGGTTTCAAATCACACATTTGCCAAAAAATATACTACACCTCACCCTGCTCAGCTCAATTAGTCTCTGTTGGCCTCCACACCTAGCAAAATGGTATAAATAATACCTACGCCTCAAGAGGTTCCGATAAAAATCTAGAAGGCATAAAAATGATTTGCAAGACAAGGAAAAATGGTGTTTATACTAAAATGTCCTTTCATTCAGGTTTACTTTTTAAGTATCTTTATAATACTTAAAGTCAGGCTGCCTGAATTCACTCCGCAATCTGAGTTGGTTTTTTTTAGTAGGCTCCATGTGCCCAGTGTGGGGTCCAAAGCGGGGCTCGAACTCACCACCCTGAGATCAAGACCTGAGTCGAGATCAAGAGCTGGACACTTAACCAAGTGAGCCATCCAGGTGCCCCCCTTTCTGAAATGTTTAACCCAACTCCTTATAAGCCCGGTTCACAAGACGAGAGAGAAGAAAAGGGAGGGCTGGCGTGTATGAGAGCAGGGTGCGCAAGGGTTAGCACTTCCCTCTTGTTTTATCCTAGAGAAGTCAAAAAAGCAGGTGTGCCTTTCTTGCCTTTAATCCTCACAATTTAAGGAAAGCCTCCCTGGACAGCAGCAACTGCTAATTCAAAATAGAAAGTAAATGTGCTCCTTGTTTTTCTTTAGGGGAGAAGGGAGAGGAAAAGAATGTTCTTCTTCCCCAGAAGGCACACTAAAAACAATCACACAGTTTGCAAATGTACTTAAGTGCCGGGATGGTCAGAGGCCACCTGAGTACCGCCCCCCCCCCCCCACTTCCCAAAACTGTAATAGCTGAAAATTTGGTGGTCTCCACCGAACAAAAAGTTCCCTTGTAACAGAATTTACCTTCACTTTCCAAGCTTTTGGCGCACACTCTTGAAGACAAAAAAAAGAAAAAAGTGAAGACAAAAAAAGGTGTTGAGAACAGACACCATCAGGGGACCATCTGATCCCGACTTCAGGAGGGCTTTTAAGTACCTCTTCAAACTGATTGGCTTTCCACAAAGGCCCCGTGCCTCCTCGGTAAACTCCAAGTGAGGAATCTACTAGTAGATTACAACCTGATTAACACAGTGTAAGTCAGTCTAAAGGAAATACTGATGGGGAAAAAAAAGTTTTTAACTCAAGAGGCCCTTCTTGCTCTACTGGTCAGGAATTAGTTTTCACCCAGTTCACCCTGCCTTCCTGCCTCTCAATTCCAACCAAACCGAAGCAGGAACTTTAGGAAATACCAAAAAACCACATCTGATTTTTACCTAGCAGTCAGCAGCAGCTTAGATTTTAAATGCCTGCTGAGTTTAAAAGCTCTTTAAATGAGCTTCAAGGACAGTTTTCTTCAAGTACACTCTTAAAATATTAACTCTGTTACTCCTTTTAAAAAAAGAAAAAAAAACCCTCAGGCCAAAATTCTGGTAGCTTTGTTTCCTATTTTTCTCGATTTCAAACCTGAACAATGAAACCCAGCTTTCTTTTTATGGTTACAGAAAGGGGGTGGGGGTGATCTGTCTCAGAAGAGGGGCAGACCTAACTCTCAGCCCCTAACATGACAGGTCCCAACAGGGCACATCTCGGCCCCAACGAGCAAGGGAAGAAAAAATGAGCCCACGGATGTCTGTAAAATAACAAATAATCCACTTGGATACCGTGTTGTTTTTCCAAAGCTCTTTATGCTCACTCGCTAAACTAAAACTGGGACAGCAATACTTTAAAGACCTAGTCTCACTGCATCATGAGATTTTAATCCTAATTATTTTGCCACCATGTATGCGCCTACGAATAAGATAAATTAAGCAGGGCCAAGTGGTTTTGTGTTTTCAAAAGGTTCAAAACAGCCCCCAGAGGAGAAAAAAAACTTTAATGCGTTCCTGTACTTTTGAAATTCAACTTCTCCCCCGGTCCAAAAAAAAAGCCACTGGCAAGCCAAGATGCCACAGAGGCCGAACGGAGAGGTTTACTGGGAAGGAACTCGTCTGGATCCAATCAAGTCTGCAAGGGAAAGCCCAGTGTCCCGAGACCGGGCGGGTCAGCCTCGGCCCGGGACACCCGAAGTACACGCTGTCCGGCGGATTCCTTCTTCCAGAAGGTTTGCAGGCTCACACTTTCCCCTCACTTGGCACCAGACGGAAAGGCGCGGAGCAAACGCGCTGGGAAGCGGGGCTGGCGGTCACACCTTCGCGCACCCCGCCCTGCCTCCCCCGCCGGGCCGGGCCCGGGACGAGTCGGGGCGCGCCCGGGGCTCCCCTCCCTTCTCTCAACTTTATCGCCTGCTCCCGGGGGAAACGGGGCCTCCGCCGCCCCCCGCCCGCGCGCGGGGCCCACACACCCGGCCGGGGCCTCCAAGGGCATTTCCCCCCCATCACTTCTCCCGGGGACCGGGCCGGCGCCGGGCCTGCAGCTCGGGAGGCGGCGTGCGGGGAGGGCGAGGCGGCCGGCTCCCCCACATCCCTGCCCGACCGTCCCCGGCTCCCGGCCGGCGAGGGCGCCTCCAGGCCGCGGCCCCTGCGTCCCTGCACCCCCCACCCCCGCCCTCCCCAGCCGCCGAGCCCCCGAGCCGCGGCGCGGAGCAGGGTGCCCCGGGGGGCTGGAACGCGGCGCCGGAGGCCGGCGCGACCCCGGAAGGGGCAGCGTAGGGGGAGGGGGGAGGGCCGTGTTTACACCGCCAAGTTCCCCGCTTCCGCCCCGGCCCGCGCATCCCCGCCTCCCCCTCGCGGCCCGGCTGCTGCCTACCTGCATGCCGGGCAGGCCCGACTGCACCGGGGAGTGAGCCATGGCGGTCAGGACGGCCACTTCCTGGGACGGGACGGCCGGGCCGCGGCGATCCGCGCGGGCGACGAGGCCCGCGGGCCGCGCGCAGCCCTCGGGCGGCGGGGGCGGCCGGCCGAGCCCGAGTCCGGCGTCGGCGCGGGGGGCGGCCCGAGTCCGAGGCCACCCCAGCCCCGGCGGGTCCCGGGCCGGGCGGCGGGCTCAGCGGCGCGCGGCGGGCCGCGTCTCCATGCACCGCGCCGGGGAGGGGCTGCGAGGGAGCTGCCGCTGTGCCGCCGCCGCTGCTCGCCTGGAGCCGGGCGGCCTGGGCCCGCGCGCGCTGGCCGCCAGGAGCCGGAGTGGGCGCGCCCCGCCCGCCGAGCCCGCGAGCGCCGAGCCCAGCGCGCCCCGCCCCGGCCCGGCCCCCGCGCCCGCCCCCGCGGCCCGGCCGGGGACCCCGCCCCGCGCTTCCGGGAGGGGGAGGAGGCTCGCGGCCGCCCGGCGCCCTAGGCCGCAGCCTCCTGCGCCGCCGCCTGCCGGGCGGGCGGGGGTCCGGGCGGGGGTCCTAGCGCCGCCCGCGGGCCGTGCCGGGCTCCCAGCCGGCGGAGCGGCGCGGGGGACGCGGCCGGCGGGCGGGTGCGGGGAAGGGGCCTCAGCCGCGGCGCCCGGCGCGGGGAGGAGGGGACCGAGTCGGAGCTGGGGCTTGGCCGCGTGCCCGACCGCCCCCCCAATCTCGCGCCCCCGCACCCCGCACCCGGCCGGGTCCCGCGGGGAGGGCCCCCGGGCGGCGAGCGAGCGGTGAGCGCCAGCTCAGAACTCTGCCGTCTTCTTCCTGCTGCAGACGAGCCCACCCGGCTCCATCTGCCCCCGGGGCAACGGGCTCCAGGCGACCTCCCCGAGGGCACAGTCTGGGGCAGGGAGACCTCGGGACGAACAGTGCCCGGCGGGGCCAGTTCAAAACCACCAGGGCGGAGCTTCTTCCGTGTCTGGGTGAAGTTTTCCACCAACCCTCGGAGGAAACCGAGAGGGGAGAGGTCGAGAGCTGTGCATTCCCGGTGCTCTTGCTTTTGAGAACAGCCCCACTTGGAACGCTGGGCGCTGAAACTTAGCTAAGCGTTGGGGGGCTGAACCCACCATCTCCGGGCTCCAGTCCCAGGCGGGAGCGTCGACCCAGGAGAAAGGGGGAAATGGGGGAGGGAGGGCCTAGGAGGAAGGGAAGACAATCAAAGGAAACCCGTGTCTAGACTTACCCCGGTGTCTCTGTCTCTCTGTCTCTGTCTCTCCCTCCCTCCCTCCCCGCTGCCCGCAAAAACCCAGGCCAGTACTGCCTTCACGTTGTAGTGACTGCAGAGGAAAGAAGCTCCAGAAAGTATTTCACTTTACAGTGACTACCAGTGGAAGCCACTGATGTGATCGGCTGCACCTCGGGTTATTGGGACCAGGCATTCGTTCTTGCGCGTCGATGCCCATATTGTTGTACGAGGCTGGACAAACGAAAAGTGAGTCCCCCGGAGATCACGAACAATTGAAGGAAACTCTAAAGCCCTCCACCGAGGTAAGGGGTTGTTTGTCCTCTGATGTGTCCCGGTATCCTGAGAACGCCCGTTCCCCTGGTGCTCCGGATCAGGCGAAGAGTTGGGGTGCTGAAACGTAACCGCCGCTTTCCCTTTGGAAATGTTTGTGTTTCTCATCAGGTTGTCACTGGTACATCATCTTCAGCTGTGAATCCTGCCTCCCACAAGCACCGCTAAGATTTGAAAAGCGTGAGCCCTCATAACCTAAGAGCTTACCGTCTTGTGTAAATTTTGTGTCCCTAATAAATAGGTAAGTGAAGAAATGAACAGCAAAACAAGCAAGGGCAAACATCTTTAAAATAGTCATACTCCTGGGGCACCTGGGTGGCTCAGTGGGTTGAGCGACCAACTTCAGCTTCGTCCTCCTCACGCTCTCAGGGTTCATGAGTTCAAGCCCCACACCCGCTTGCTGCTGTCAGCCTGTCCCCGCAGAGCCCGCTTCACATCCTCTGTCCCCCTCTCTCTGCTCTCCTGCTTGTGCGCTCCCCAAGATAAATAAACATTAAAATGTTCCTATTCCTCAACCCAGAAAAGCTACTTGAAGTCACATATCCTAAGGTTACGACCGAGAAGTACATAAAAATGGACATAAAAAGATGCGTGTAGGAATAGCTATAATTGTGGAAAAACTAGGAACAGATTAAAATTTTAACGGAGATTTTTAAGTAAATGAAAGTATTTTTATACAGTGAGTACTCCATAGTCGTTAAAAATGACGTTACAATATTTAGCAGCATGGAAAAGTATTTGCTTTAAAGATTGTTTAGAAAAACACAGGGTACGAAACAAATGTATACCCTGACCTCAAGCTACTTCATATGTATGAAATTATATTTAAGTATATAATTTACATATTTATATAAATGTGTAATATTTATGTGTAACAGAAAAACCTGGAAGTATATACACCAAGATTTAGCAGCGGCTGTCCATCTGTAATCAACCAATAAAGACCATCATGCTAAAACTCTTTCGGGTTAGCAGTCAGGGCAATAATATGACAGCAAGATAAGGAAGAAGAAACAGGATAGTGGACAGAAATGTCTGGGCACTGAACTGAGGCATTGCCATCGGAAAACTCGCAAGCATTGGAGCCCAAATTGTGTGACAAATAACCTTTCCCAACAAATAAGCCATGGTGGGGGAGGGGAACACTGGATCTCAATAATCGTGTATAAAGAGTAATCAGAATCCCGTTTCATATCCAGAGGCTAGAGAGGCCGAGAACATGTAGGTTGTAATGGGGTACGACTTATCTGGGAACAGTGGCTGGCATTCATTAGCTGGTCTATTTCCCTATTTATTTTTCCCTGTTATTTTCCCTATTTATCTCCTCACCGTGACTGAGCTTCATTTCCTCCTTGGACCATATCTATACCACTGAGCACAATTCTTGAAAGAGAAGAGAGATGCAAACCAAAAGTTTCTGGTTGGTTCCATTCAGTCATATACAGATATTACCCAGTATCCCAGGGCAGTGGTCCTGTCCCTCTCTTCTAACAGAGCAGATGATTGACATCCCCCAGGCTGGATCCTGCCCAATTGCTTAGTGCATCCATTCATCCATTAACACATTTTTTGAAGGCTGAGTACAAGTCAGACATCCGGTTCGGCGTTGGGTCCATAAGCACTGGCTCCTCAGGTGCGTCTCATCCCGTCCTAGGGAAATAATCTCCCAGAACCCAAACTTCAGAATTTTGCTACGGTAGCACAATTAATTAAATTTAGAGTCGAAACAGCTCTGATTTCCACCAAGGAAAGAAGAGGATTATCCTGTCATCCTCTGCCTGTTGTCACTTTGTCTCTCCACTCTCAACATATAATTACAACAGATCATCTACTACTGTAATTTCAGAAGGAGAGATTTTGAGGGTCTCCATAGAGATTATGCATTTTCTGGTCTCCATGGAGATCCTTACTAACCCATGGAATTATTTTCATCCCCCAGCCCTCTTTGTCTTTTGTGTTGACTTAAGGATAAGAATAGGGCAGTGAATTGTGCTCTGACACATATTCAAGACCACAAAGGACATTTCCATACCCCCATATAGAGCCCTCTGAATACAGAGCCCTCCGTTATTGATTCCCCCTAAGCCAGTAAGTATTCTCAGCCGAGCTCAAAGACCGCAGCCGAAAACAAGAATTCAACAATCAGTCCCTTCAATTCTCCTTCTGAGTTGAAAAGATAAACACCCCCAAATGCCACTTTATAAAGAGCAGCTAGGCAAGTAGCACATTAGCAATTTAAATGTACAGATTAAAGAAAGGGACTTACATGGTGAACTTTAAAGAGAGAAATATGAGTAGCTTGGATAAGTAACAGAAGGCTTGACAAATTTCTACACATGTTCAGCAGGTGAAGGCACAAAGGGGGAAGACAGATTATTAAGATTGGTATAAAGAAGCATGGTTAGCCATAGTTGGATGACATGACAGCAAGAACATATATGCCAGCGCCCCAGGGAAAGATCCAGCTACACTGGCACAAAGGAAGTGTCACTCTGTGGGTGTGGAGACCGGACAGCGAGCTCTCACGGCAACACATGACTGGAAGTCAGTCTGAGGCCCTGTGTTTGTCTGCCAGGGCCACCATGAAAAAGCACACTGGGCTGGGTAGCTTGGCAGAAATGTATCTCCTCACAGTGAACGTGAAGGCTGGAAGTGGGGGGTGTCAGCAAGGTTGATTCTTCAGAGGCCTCTCTCCTTGGCTTAGAGGTGGCCATCGCCTCCCTCTGCGCGTCGTCCCCGTGTGTACATAGGTGTGCGTCATGATTTCTTTTTATGAGGACGCCTGCCATACTTGATGAGGGCTCACCCTAATGACTTCATTTTAACTTCATTCTCTCTTTTTTTTTAGATTTTTTTAAGTTTGTTTATTTTTGAAAGAGAGAGAACGCACATGCATGTGAGGAAGGGGCAGAGAGAGAGAGGAGGGAGACAGAGAATCCCAAGCAGGCTTCACACCACCGGTACAGAGCCTGATTGATGGTGGGCTCAAACTCACAAACCTCGAGGTCATGACCTGAGTGGAAGTCAGAAGCTTAACCGACCGAGCTACCTAGGGGCCCCTAAGATTTTATTTTTTAAGTCATCTCTGCACCCAAGGTGGCACTCAGACTCACGGCCGTGACGTCAAGAGGGGCGTGCCCTTCCAACCGAGCCAGCCAGGTGCCCCCAACTTAATTACCTCTTTAAAGACTTCATCTGCTGGGATAAGCTCAGGCCTGCATTGGGCTCCATGCTGACAGCCCAGAGCCTAGAGCCTGCTTCGGATTCTGTGTCTCCCTGTCTGCCCCTCGCCAGCTCATGCTCTGTCTCTCAAAAATGAATAAAAGTTAAAAAAATTTCTTTAATAAATAAAGACTCCATCTGCAACTACAGTCCCATGCTGAGGCACTGAGGGTTAAGACCCCAACATAGGAAGGGGGTGAGGCACCACTCAGCGACAACACCACCCTTTCACTGCACATGCAGTTCTGGCCACTCACTTTATCTGGTTCCTTCAGGCTCAGCTCCGTGAGCAAGAGCTTCCTTTCTCCTCTCCCAAGGCCTGGGGACCATTCAACACAGTTCACATTTCACATTTATGCTAATAGAAATTGCTTCATGTTTCCGTGGGCGTAGTCCCTAAACTTTTTCTCATGAACTAGCAAGTTAATCCCCAACCATTGAACAACTGAGAACAGACACAGGGAACAGAAGCACCTATTTACTTGGTGAAACATTTTTAATTAGAAGAAATGATCTGGAATGCATGGCAGAATCTGCCAGAAAAGTTTAATAAATACTTATTTCAGCCCAAAGGTTATACTTTAATAAAGTCTCTTTTTTTCTCTCTCTCTAGTGCCTCCTCCGCCCTTAAAAGTCGCTGCACTTGAAGGTACAGGATGTTTGGGGACTGAGCTCCCCGCCCCACAGGCAGGGACTTTTTGCACTACACTCCTGGCGTGGCTATCCTGGGGACTCACACCAGGGAGGTTTAGGCTGTTTAGAAGGGGGCATTAGAACAGGCTCACTAGGAAAATTCTCATGTGCAATTTTGCCGGGCAAAAAGCCAATTAACAGAGCTTGTCACTCTGAACAGTGGCCACTTGACCCCGCCAATCAGCTCCTAAAGGCTTCAGTACACAGACTCATGGAGCACCGTGTGTGGATTTCCCTCCCTGCCCAGGCTGGGTTTGCATTCAGATGAATCCAGAAAGGGCATAAATGAAATCATCCTCAGAAGGGTGATGTCATCCATCCCACAGTCTCAGAACTGCAGTTGCCAGTTCTTAAAAGCCCTTGGCCCTGTTTTATGACAAAGAAGACAAATTGTAGAAAGCGATTTTAATTTTCACTTCAAGGAGATCTAGGGAATTATGTGCTTAAGGAACATTGTAGAACCATGCAAAGGTAGAATGTGCCTGCGAGTGGTAGGCATCGGTTCCCCAATGCACAGCAACAACTAGGCTTGGAATCCTCATGAAAACTGACCTAGCATGGCCCTGTCATCAAGGATCTACCTGAAAAAAAAGGTAAGCATGTGGCTTCATACCTTGCTTTTGCAGCCCGGTTTTATTTGGTTTCCTAAGCAGCTATGTTAGTGAGACTGTTAGAGCTATTTGAACAGCAGGTAACAGAAACCTAGCTCAAACCTTCGTAACCACAAAAGGGAAATTTTAGCTCAGTGATGGAAATCCAAGCTTCCTAAATGACGCTTGGATAAATCCAGGGGGGATGTGGTCAGTGATAAGATCAGAACTCTGTCTTTCCCTGACTCTCTTCCTTGCTGGCCTCTGCTTACCTTCATCCTCATGTGGGTTTTCTTGACCAGGGGTCAAGAGTCTCTCTACATGGTCTTTGTAATCCCAGAGAGAAAAGGCTAATTTTCTTTTATCCAATGTCATACACCAAAGCTAGTAAAGGGACTCAAATTTGTGTACGTTCTTGTGACCAGAGGGCACGAAAACACAGGGCTGGAACAGTCTAGTCCAGACAGTATGGAATGGACATACACAAATATGTCCATATCCCTGTATAGAAGGTAGGTCCCATGCCTGTAAAGTAGACACAGGGATGGAACAGTCTAGTCTAGATAGTATGCCATGGGGAAGAGGCAGCTCCTGGGTAGAAAGAAGATTCCTGGGGCCCCTGGATGGCTCAGTCAAGTAAACAACCTGATTCTTCATTTCAACTCAGGTCATGATCTCACAGTTTGTGAGTTCCAGCCCCACAGCTGGCACCATGGAGCCTACTTGGGATTCTTTCTGTCTCCCTCTCTCTCTGCCCATCCCCCTCTCTCCACTTGCACTATCTCTTTCTCAAAATAAATAAATAAACTTTAAAAAAAATGAAAGAAAAGAAAGAAGACTCCTGGCCTAATACATTCTACCCTTTAGCTGCCTAGCACATGTACATGCACACACAGACACACACACACACACACACTTATATGTACACAGATGTTCTCTTTTTCCATTTATGATTTCTTTTATGCACACCTCTCCACAACATAATACAACCAACCCATCCATAACCATCCATGTGCTTATCTCTTCTCCAACGCAAGTCAAGTGTTTTCTAATCAGGTCATCCATTCCTACTCTGGGGGCTCTGGATAAGAGGTATTCTTCTTTGTCACGCCTGGATGTAGCTTTTCACAGGTCAGCAACCTACTGTATGTCTACACGGTAATGTTAGCACCCTTTATGTGTTTAACATGAGAAAATAATTTTGATCACCACCTTAAAAATCTTATCTGAAAAGGAGAAAAAATGAGCAGGTGTCATCATCCATCCGTAAAATACAGGATACCTTCTTGGAAAAGGAGACGGTCAGGGGAGGGCCAGGTCGGCCACTGAGACTGAACTTGTTTCTATTCTTTGAAAGGTTCTCCATATTCTGTGGCCGTCCATGGCCACCTTGGAGAGGAGCATCTATAGGCTAGCCTTCTGGCGGGTGTATGGCTTCAGCGGTCCCCCCTTACTGGTGAGGCTTTGGGTCCCACGGATGGTCTTAAGTGCAGACATTCTCCTTCCCAGGACCCTCAGTATCTCAGTAATTTTTCATAGGAACTCTGAGCCAAAAGAAACACCCAGAAGTCCAATTAACTAAGAAGCTATGTACAAGCAACTCAATAAATATTTCTGTCCTAGCAACTTAGCAGCCCTTTGAAAAAATAACATTGTAAATTGGAAAATATTCTGTTAATTTCATTCTTAGGGGGACGTACGTTCCTTTTGGGTACTGTACAGCTTCTCAGACCTTAGAATGAGTTTGGACAGATTCCTTCAATTCTTCAGTTCTTGTTACACGCTGGTTTTTTTATCATAGCAGCTGCCAAAATATAGGCAGTTGCTTTGATGATACATGATATCATGGAAGAGAATGTAGCATGATCTCATGTTGAAACTGTGGCCCATCTGCCAGCGTCATGTCCAACAGATGCTTAATCCTGCTGTATTTCTTGAAATTTTAAAATACCCCGCGGTGCCTCTGTGAATTCTCTCCAGTCCTCAGGGCACCTTGGGGCATAGTTTGGGAACCATGGTTTTAACAATTTAGCAATAATAGGTTTGTGTTTGCCCTCATGATAGAAGTCCCGTGAAAACTCAGTAGGAGACCTAAGCCACAAACCTGTTGAGTCAGGGTCTTGGCATCTGAACGTTTTCATTGCATTTTCTGGCCTTGTTATACCAAGAGCCTCCTGAGTGTTGGGCTGTGGCACACCAGTATGGTGAAAGTTGATGCCCGTGGTCCCTGGCAATTGGGCAGTCCCAAGGCAACCCCAGAGCCCCAGGCCAGTGGCCTCCAGTGGGGAGCACCCTCTTCTGTTCAGACCAGTTTGCCTTACAAATACTATCTTCTTTATGTAGATACAGATGTTATAAATATTCATCCTCTGATTAAGGAGGAACTTAACTGAGGACCATGGGGGAGAAGAAGGGGGGAAATGGTGGGGGAGAGGGAGAGAGGCAAACCATGAGAGACTCTTGAATGCTGAGAAACAAACTGAGGACTGATGGATGTGGGGGGGAAGGAGGGTGATGGGCATGGAGGAGGGCACTTGTGGGGATGAGCACTGGGTGTTATATGGAAACCAACTTGACAATAAACTATTTGTAAGGAAAAAAAATATTCATCCTCAGTACCTATCGTGTTCAAATTCTACAAATGATCCAGGTCTTAAGCACAAAGAAGTAACAGTTCAGCCAGCTTCAAATCAAGCATCCAACAGGTCAGGGGACACCAGCTTTCCCAGTACAGGCGCTTCCACAGCCTCCCATTCTGACTCAGCCATGCCGATTTTTCTCTCACGCCTTCCATTCCTGGCTGCAGTTTTTTACTTGTCTGGACTGTGGTGGTTTCACACAGCAGAAACCCAATTAAAATTAGCTTAAGCAAAAAGTAATTTATCTCATTTAACTGGGAAATCCAGTATTTATAAGCCAGTCACAGTCACGTTTAAATAAAATTGTAAAAGGTCAAGGTAGCTGCTGACAACTCTGCTGGGGGATTCAAAGAAGGTAATCAGGACTCTGTGTGCCTTTTGAAAAATATGTTTATTTATTTTGAGAGAGAGCACAAACAGGGGAAGAGCAGAGAGAGGGGGAGACGAGAATCCCAAGCAGGCTCTGCACTGTCCGCGCAGAGCCCAGTGCAGGGCTCGAGCTCACGAACCATGAGATCATGACCTGACACTTCCCTGACTGAGCAACCCAGGACCCTGTGTGTCTTTATATTTTGGCTCATTGGATCATGTCAGCCTTAGACTTCCATCATCCTAATGGTTTAAGAGCCCAGATTAAAGGGAGCATCCTTTGTGAGACCTCTGCTAGGATTCTGATTGGCTGGAGCAGTGGGAGGGACAGAATCATCCCATCAGGATCCAGAGACAGAGGACAGGTTTTTTTGTGGGTGGCAGTACTCTAAATAAAAGTGACACTGACCAGACAGAACCCTAAACCCCCTGGGGGGGAGGGGCGGGCACTGGAAGTTTGTTCTGAGCAGCTGCTTAATCTGGAGTAGGGAAATCTTTCTTATTAAGTTCAGGATCTTCTTAGAGATTTGTAAGGATCAGGGGTTGGGAAACTTTTCCTGTATAGGTCGGGACAGTCAATACTTTAGGTTTGCGGAACATGTGATCTCTGTCATAGTTATTCAAGTCCACTGTTGTATCAACAAAGTAGCCACACACAATATGCATTGAAGTGAGCATAGTGGAAACTTTGTTTCCAAACACAGCTGCTAAATTAGATTTGCTCCCTGGGCAGTAGTTTGCTAACCCCTGATCTAGATGAGTGACCTTGGTAAGTTGGGTGTGTGGTCAGATGGTTGTAGACAAGTTTAGGGGAGTACACAAAGGAGGAAAAAGAAAGTACAGTCATACTACATGGATGGATATGTAGAATTACCAGAAAGAGACCAAGGAGCTATCCTGGACCCTATATTGAAAGTAAGTCCTTAATACATAATTGTAATTAAAGATAAAGCCAGGGTCCAAAATACATGTATAACTGGATAGAACACAAGGAAGCAAGTTTCTGCATGCAGGATACAGGCTGTCTGGGAATATTACCACGGGACCTTCACAATGAAAATGAGTCACACCAAGAGTAGCTATGGGAGCACCTGTGTGGCTGTCAGTAACCCTCCGACTCTTGATTTCAGCTCAGGTCATGATCTCACGGTTTGTGAGATTGAGCCCTGCGTCAGGATCTGCGCTGACAGTGAGGAGCCTGCTTGGGATTCTCTCTCTGTCTGTCTGTCTCTCTCTCTCTCTCTCTGTCGCTCCCCCACTCTTGCAGTCTCTAACTCTCTCAAAATAAATAAATAACATCTTAAAAAAAAAAAAAAAGAATACCTATTAAGAACCATCAACTCCTTAAGGTGAGGATCCACGCTTAGTTTTTTACCTTGTGATCCCAAGAGTGCTTCTGGTGTGGGGATACAGAAAAATATAATAAATATTTGCTTATGTACGTCAGAAACAGGTAAGTTTAAAAATTAAAATTCTGTTATTTAGAAAGTGCTTAGAGATATGAGAAAACTGAGGCCTGCACACTGCTGGTGGAAGAGTAAGTTGGTGTACATTTCCCAGAGGGGCCTCTAGCCATGTAACAAAACCCTTAAAATATTCATACTTTTTTCTATTATATTTTTATTTCAAGACATTATGCTTAAGAAATGAGTACAACTACTTGGAAAGGTAGTATGAAGATGAGCATCATATTGCTATTTATAACAAAAAAATGAAAAAAAGTTGAAATGTCCAATTATAAAGGTTTGTCTAAAAGATTATGATTCACTCATAGAATGGTATAAATCCTATGGAGCAACTTAAAATTATTGTGTAAATTAATACTGACCCACTTATTGAAGATATCATGGCTCATATAAGGATAAGTGAGAAAAGCAAGGTATAGTAATGTATGTTATGTATTATAATAATATTTTTCACTACTGTGCCTGTAAAATTCTGCTTTCAGTAGTGGCTGAATTCTGGCCAAGGGTATTCCAGAACAGTGCCACTAAG